AGTTCTGCGGGATCGGCGCTGGCCAGGCTGGAGCTGCTGTCCCGTACCAGGTCCCAGAGGCCCAGCTGCCGCTCGCTCATCCTGCTGAAGCCCGTGGTGAAGATCTTGCCATCGGCCACGAAGATGGCGCGGATGGGCCGGGTGCCGTCGTGCGGTTTGGTTTTCTCCTGCGCCGGCGTTAGCGGGTTAAATCAAACACAGAGACGCGCGGAGAGGGGTTAGTAGGGTCAGGCAGGCACTGGGGGGACCCCGGGGTGGGATGGGGGGCACAGCAGGGGCACTCACCGCTATGATCTGCTGCTTGCGGGGGTCGATGACACGGACCTTCTTGTCCTTGCAGGTGGTGACCAGCAGGCTGCCGTTGCGGTTCCAGCCCACGTTGTAGATGAGGTCGGTGTGCATGTCGTCCAGAGCCAGCAGCATCTCCCCGGTGCCCACGTTCCAGAGGATGACCAGGTTGTCGCAGCCTGCAGAGGACCCGGGGGAGGCAGGTGCTGTCACGCCATGGATCTCCCGTGCCCCCGGGGAGGGCGACCCGGGACCCCCTTACCTGCGCTGAGCAGGACGTTGCGGGCGGTGGGGTGCCAGGAGATGATGCTCACCCGCTTGGAGTGTCCCTCCAGTGTCACCACGGGCTCCGTGATGTTGCGCACGGGGACATAGTCGGGGATCTGCCACACCTGGGGGGGGACAGAGAGGGGTGTTGGGGATCACCCTGTGTGTGAGCACTAAGCGGATGAGGGCCTGGGAGCCAATTAACCTCATCATTAATCCCGGCTCAGCCTGCGGGGATGGTGGCCAGGGGACACCAGAAGCGCCTCCATCCTGGGGTGCATCCCCAGCATTTGGGGTGCTGGTGGGCACAGGGAGGGGGGCACGGCCGGGGTGCAGCCCCCAGCTCCCCCCCCCAGCTATTCCTGCATGCTGAGTCGCCAGGGAGGGTAAATTTAGCACAAACTGCTGCATCATGGAGCGAGCAGCCGCCGCCAGCGCGAACGCATGGCACCGCGGCTAAAAATAGGCCAGTGACACTTCACAGGCAGCGAGGGGGGGGGATGCTCTGCATTGCTCCCCCTGCACCTCCCACCCCTCCCACGCAGTGCCCAGCCCCTCACCATGACAGTGGTGTCCTCCGAGGCGCTGGCGATGACGTTGTCGTTGTGGGGACACCAGTCGATGTCCAGCACGGGCGCCGTGTGTCCCGTCACCAGCGGGTGGTTCTTGTCCACCCGTCCTGTCTGCAATGGGGAGGGACCAGCGTGAGCCCCCCAGGAGAGACCCTGCCAGGTACCCCCCGAAGGCCAGCCTGGCCAGCACGTGGGTTGTGGCACAAATGGGGACTTGCAGGGGATTCTGGCAGTGGCCAGAGGTTTGTGCCTGCCTTGAAGGGGGAAACTGAGGCACACAGGGCAAATGGGGTTCACCTGGCACAAGGCCTCACAGGGACACACAGGAGAATCATGTGGCCCATGAGAGGCTGTTCTGTGTCTGCTCTGATGGCAGGGAGGGGTTGGGGACCCTCTCCCAGTCTCTCTGCCAGGGTTGGCAGGGCAGACCCCCACTCCACTGGGTGCTGCTCCCTGGCCATGCTGTGCCCCCAGGGAATTGGGGCTGGGGGAAGGCAGCTGGGGGTTTCCAGATCACCTTGCTTGCCCCAGGGATGTCACCCTTGGCAGGTGCCAATGACCACCCAGGTTGTTCCTGCCCTGAGCCCCCACATGAGGAAGGGCTGTTGGGGCAAAGCTGGGGGGCTCTGGGGCCACAGCAGATCCCCAAAAAAGCAAAACCCATCAGCACGTTCCCCCCAACACATGCCAGCAGCGTGACCAAACCCCAGCACCCTCCCCACTCACCTTGGCGAGGGGCAGGACAATGAAGGCGCCGCCACCACCAGACTCCACAATGATGGCCACAAACTTGGGGTTGACAGCGCAGAAGGAGCTGTCACACGTCACCTTGGAGACACGGATGTCCTCGTACATCTGGTCTGCCTTCACCGGCTGCCCGAAGACGTGCCGGAACTTGCTCTGGCGCACCACGCGGCGGCTCATGGCTGGGGGGACAGTCAGGCCACCTCCTCCTCCCCTCCTGGCACGGCTTGGAGGGGCTCAGTCCCCTCAGGCCTCCTGCTCCGAGAGACTCTGGGCACAGCGGGAGCCCTGGAACACTGAGGTGGCGGGGATTGAGGATGGGAGATGGCACAGCCCTGACCCCACGGCAGGGAGCAGGGCAGCCCCTGTGCAGGGATGGGGGGGTGCTGCAGGGGCTGGGGGCTGTCAGCTGCTGGCCAGAGCCCTTGACACTGGGCAGGGACATGGCCATGCCATAACACACAGCTGTGCCATGTCCTGTGGCTGTGCCATGTCCCAAAGCTGTGCNAACATCTGGGCCAGGGCCGGGGGAGCCCGAGCAGCTCCGACCGCGGCCAACACCAATAAATGCTCTTTAATGTTCGTCTCTCTCAGCCTCCCTCTGCCTGGGGCGGGGGTCACAGGCTGTGGGAGCTGGCAGGGGGGTGCTGGCAGCACCCCTGGCACAGTGGTCCCTGGTACTGCCACGCAGCCAAGGGTGGCTGAGCCCTTTATTAAAGGGGTGCAGGAGCAAAGAGCCGGGTGGGAGCACCCTCCGAGGGGCTGATGGGGCAGGGGGAGGTGAGAGGGTGATGGGGTGGGGGTGTAGCACCGTGCACAAGCACATCCCGGCCTGGGAGGGCCTGGCAGTTCCCTGTGCTGGGAGGCTTCTGTGCCCAGCCTGCAGGCCCCCGTGTTGGGGTGCTTGGCAGGAGTGGGACCCCTTTGGGTGCTGCAGTGGGTGCCCATGGGCCAGGACACCCCTTTGGGAGCTGCAGTGGGTGCCCATGGAGCAGGACACCCCTTGGGAGCTGCAGTGGATGCCCATGGAGCAGGATACCCCTTTGGGAGCTGCAGTGGGTGCCCATGGGCCAGGATGCCACTGATGCCAGTGGAGGCAGGGTCAGGTCAGACCCCTGCCTGCCCCCTCGGCTCCTGGGGAAAGAACTCGGCTCCGGGCTCCTGCCCAAGGTGGGGACTCGGCTTTAATCCCCGGCAGGCCGGGGCAGTCCTGGCCCTGCCCGTGCTCGTGGCCGTAGCCACCGCGCTAGTCCGTGCCGTTGGTGAACTGGCCGAGTTTGTTCTCCAGGTCGGAGATGCGCTTCTCCTGCGCTTGGACCGTCTCCTTCAGGGCACGGATCTCCTCCAGCACCTCCTCCAAGGCTGGCTGCTGCAGGGAGGGGGGACACACAGGGTCACCAACGAGTTGGGCCCCTCTCATGCCACCCCAGGGCAGGGGCACAGCCCTGCTGCCATGTCCCTATCCCCGGACACTCACAGAGAAGTCTGAGTCGCAGGTGGAGTGCCTGCGCCGGGGGCTTGGTGGGGGTTTGCTGTCCAGGATGTTCTTCTTGACCACCTTCAGCTCCCGGTTCTTGATGGGCACATACCCATCCCGCAGAGAGATGAGGATGGGCTCTGCATCCTTCCCTGACAGCCACTCATCTGCCTCCAGGGCCGGCTCGGGGCCTGGTGTGTCGGGGTACAGGTCATCCTGGAAGAGGTCTGACTGCGGGGGCAGAGACACCATGGTGAGATGTGGGGTGTCTCCCCAGGCCCCCATCTCCCCTGGGACCCCCCCGGCTCACCTTGCGTGGCACCGTCATGACAATGGGCTCGCACTTGCGCTCGTGCAGCTTGAAGAACCTGCGTGGGGCACAGGCAGTCAGGGCCCAGCTGAGCCCCCTGACCCCTCTGGCTCTCCCCAGCCCCCCTGGCTCTCACCTGGCGATCTCACACTTGCTGACATCCAGCCCACGCTTGGGCATGAAGCCCATGCCCCGCTGGGGCTCCTTGCTGCTGTAGGTGTTCAGGTAGTGCACATAGGGAGCCTCGTCCGTGATCTCGAAGTACCGGATGCTGCTGTCACCCTGCGGGGTGGGGACAGGTGTCAGCCAGCCCTGGCACCCTCAGGGACGGGGTGGCATTGGGGTGCACCCTGGGGAAGGGGGGTTACCTTCCCACAGAGGTAGACAATGCTGGAATCGGCGTCGTAGAAGGGCAGCAGGACCCCGTTGCTCGTGTCCATCTCTTGCAGGGCAATGGGCTCCTCAAAGTTATTCTGGGGGGCAGTGGTGGAGAGGTGTGAGCAGTGACCCCAAAACTCCCACCATGGTTAGTCACACACATTAGCCACGGCACACTGGGGGACAGGGCTTGTCCCCTCTGGGGCACACAACCCCCCAGGCAGGCAGCTTGGCATG